CCCCCCCCCCCCCCCCCCCCCCCCGCCCGGTACGCCTATGAACAAAACCTTATTAGTATTCTCTATAGTCTATAGTCAATAGAGCATATATGTACTGATTAATATAAAGCATACTATAATCAGTTCAAAGTACGTTTTCAGGAATCTTAAATCTTTTAATTTTCGTGAAATGGCAAAAGTCAAAATTCTATCAAGCATCCTTTCGTCGATTGAATCAAACCAAGTTACTTTCAAAACCAAGTTACTTGACAAAGCAAGTCATTATATGAGTTTTTCTTTGTCAAAGCAATTTACAAAATTTCTCTAAGGCCAAAACCCAATTTTGTTGGTTTTGATATGTATACCATATACTATATAGTCTTCAAAAAAATGTATAAATTTTTAGTTCATGGCATGCATGCTTTTTTTAGGTTGTCCATACTTGAAAAATTTTATCAAACTTAAACAATGCTTAATCTGTCACGGGAACACCACAAAAAGACTTTCCAAAAAACGTAGGATTTCCAAAACAGTTTCAGTTACTTTTCCACCAGTCTTCGTCTTTGTTTACAACGCAATAATTCATACAGATTTTGCCGTTGTAAGTAAAAGTGTAATTGTAAAATATATTATTCTTATCATGTCCCCGTTACCCGTATACTAGACGAAGCCTTGCTTATAAGTTTGCTAATATTTTCCCGTTTTTCCGTCGTTCTCAGGAGCACCCCTAGACTTGTATAGCCTCAGGCTTGGTACTGCATGTTTCAAACGTCGCGCTTCTCATGTGCCGAACGCATGAAAAACAATAGATAATGAGGCATTTCAGCTGATTATCTATTGTTTTTAATGCTTTCGGCACATGAGAAGCGCGACGTTTGAAACAGGCCTAAGTGTATATTATTACTACTAATTAATATTATTCACATAAAAGGAATTTGTTGCCTATTTTTATTAGTAACAAGGTTTTGTTTCTTCTTCACAGTCAAACCAAAGAACACAACGATTACGTTTACAAAGAGCACCGCTGTCGTTGATGGAAATGTTGCCGTAATGTGTAATTCTAATGGTCTTCCTGAACCAAGTTATACCATAATCCATAATGATAATAAGGTCGTCACTAAGAAGTCGACATATACCATAGTTGATGTGAAGTACAGTGATGCTGGAACATATAAATGCATTGCATCGAACAAACTTGGAAGTGATTCAGCTTCCAGGAGTTTAACCGTAGGTAAGATTAGATTGTTAACACATTTTGTTTCGCTCACTGTATCACCGTGCGAAAACACGTGGAAGAAACACGGAAAGGAAAATTCTCTAGTATTCAGGTCTTGCAGTATAACGTATCAACAAAAATAATCCGCGATTTTTGGGTGGCAAAAATATTTTATTCGACCGTCTACTATACAGCTATGTATACCATTATACTCCTCAAAGTACTCAACATAGCGACAACCGCCTTCAGTGCCGTTGTTATGTGTGCTTTTAATTAGCTACTTTTAATTTGCAACAAATACATGTTGTGACGTCACTTGCAAGATGACATGGTATGTACATTGGGGCGAGCAGTAGTGTAAACAGAAATCTGTTTGGTAAACGCCAGAACAAGCCAACAATTTAACAAGACGTTCTAATGAACGTTAATATATTCACTGGGTTTAATAAAATATAGGCTTAACCGCGAAAGGCCTGTGCAGAGATAGAGGAATGCACCCATGAGGCATCTGTTGTCATGCACATTCCACACACTTCAGGGGAAGTTGTTAGGGGTAAGTGAAATTATCATAGGCAAGTGAGACTTCTTTCTGTGCACGTGTGCCTCACTTGGAAAGGGCAGATGCACGCACATGGTGCAAGACTTCTCTTTCAATATTGAAGTAGATGTACATTGTTCAAATCACCATGATTAAGGCTGTGTTAATGTTGGTACATGGCACAACTCAGCCGATAAAGTCCATATAATGGCGGATATTATTTGGCTCAATGTTGTCCCCAAGATAAGATGAGGTGATGCAGCGTGTCAAAGCAAGACGCGATTTACAACTTCTTGTGTGGTAAGATATATCACAGACACACTCTCCTCCGCAGAGTCATGTAGGATTGTAGGGATAATGTAGGGATAGTAGAGGACATTTAGTGGTGCGCGATGGACGGTAGCGCGTTTTGACTAACAATTACGTAATTTGTTTCCGAAGTAATATTGCGTAATTTTACTAAAAATTCGTAAGGCCCTGCGAAGGAGAGAGTCACAGACACGATAACTTGTTGCAATTTGGCTGTTTGCAGTAGCCGAAAATGGCGAGATGGTTTGATACAACAGATATGACTTTAGATTTTATGTACTTTCAACAAATTCAATGTTTCCATTGTTTATAACCAACGAGGCAACGCTAATTATTCGAAATTGTCACATTTCTTGTTATTCTGACACTCTATATCCGGAGCTGGGAGAAAACACCGGCTCCGACTGACCATAGAAAACGCTGGAGCTCCGGCAGAACTCTGGTGCTCAGCACTAGCCGAAACCTAGAGTCGCATGCAAATTTAAGTTAGTGCCCGGCGACTAATAAAGTTAAAAATTGGGTGCGCTAAGCATACAAATATCTGTTCAGAGTGATTTTAATGGCTGCTGTGAATGCATTTTTATTTTGCTGTTCCTCCCAAATAATGAAGATAACACCGTGGAACAACTGAAATCATTAGTAATTCATTATAATACATAATTATTGGATGCCGCGTTAAAGGCTGATATTTTACATATCTGTGGCCAGTGTCCGAAAGCTTAACCCAATGTTAACCTAAAATTCAAAGCAAACTTCCCGGCATCTGTTTACAAATTTGGAAATGATTCTTCAGAAATTTTGTCTGGTTCGATAGGAGTTTACTTCTCCGACGTTTTGCAATAATCAGAACTGCAGAAGTACATAAACTAAAACAGCGGTCGATTAAATTTTAACCCAGGGTTAGCGCTAACCCACCTATGAAACAAATGCATGGCCACTGGTCGAAAGCTTTGTGACGGTTCTTATTTTTTCTTAACCATTCGTTGATAAATGTTATAACTATAAGGAAAACACAAACAGGAAAATGGCCAGCGACACTATAACACAGCGTGAGCCAGTTGCGTTAGCGACTTGTTTCAAAACGAATTCCATTTTCTCGACATACTTCGCATATAGCAGTTTTGGTGATTTAATTGGCGTTCAGTCCAACTTCAGGGATGATTTTGGTTTTTCCTTTCTCTTCCCTCCATCCGCAATTAGGAAGGGAAATAATACCTGATATTCAAGCAGTATGCGCTTACTGGAGGACGGGACTGTAATACTCACGGCTGTATGTGAAACACGTCTTTGTATAGGAATAGGCTACAAATATATGCTGCTTTTTCCCATTCGTATATAATATTCCATATGACAGTTGTCTGTTACTCCCCTCTTCCTCTCGCGACCTTTGGCGGTCAAGCAATTGCTCAGCTTGCCCGGTGTGGAGACATTCAGAGTAATATCAGCAATTTTTTTTGTACCCTTTAGGAAAAATATATCTTCCATCTGGTGGGAACAGCTTGACCTTTTTGAAAGCACCAATTGTGAAAATAAAGTGGTCACTTGATCCTGTTTTATCTACGAATATAAGTCGGTCTTGGAGTTTTAAAAGTAGAGCTAGTGGCAAAGATGAAATACTTGGTAAAGTATCTCGTGCTGGTGATATTACTATAGTAACCAGGTTATATGAGGTTGATATAGAAAAACCAGCAACACTGGTTTTGAAGAACGTTGATGAGAGTTATAATGGAGTATACAAGTTTGCCCTTTACCCAGGATTACCTGGCCCCAGTATATCTGAAGTTGTCGTTTTTATTGCAAGTAAGTTTTCATTAATTATCATGTAAAATTTCAGGTTTTCTCGAAATTCTGGTATAATATTTTTGCATCAGAGCATGGCCTAGTCATCGAGACGACATTCTATTATCATTATCCATTCAAACATTATGACAGCAATTCGCTGAATTTCAATAGCGGTTTTTTTGAGACACCCTGTACAGCTAGGGCCTAGGGAGTCTTAAAGTCATCAAAATTAACAGTAGTGTATATTGCTTAGATAGCAACACAACTGAGCTCTGTAACCAAATTATACTGTATCACTACTTTCATTCTTTAACAAGATGACTTCAAGATTTAAGATGGCAAATAACTAAATTGGTTTTAAGAAAAAGTACATATCTGAGCGTACACATGAGTATACCAAAATCCAATATCTCATAAGCACACTCATAGACACACTATAGAAATCATGCAGAGTTCCCAATATCCGGTATCTCATATAACTCGACTCTAAACCTACATTAAAAGTTAGTTCAAAAACTCATTAACATGTGATAGATATTTCCCTTGGTCTACATAAAGTTTAACTCTCGACTTACACAACGTATTTTTTGAAAATTACTTCGCCAATTAACTTACTAGCCTACATCGATCGTTTTTGAAGCGATTTAAAACATGAGCATTGCGTGTTTTATCAAACCTAAAGATACTCGGCTTCGCCTCGAATCTTTACATTATATCTGATAATTACATTTCAGAGAAACCAAATGTGATGATCAATTGTTCCAGTTCTATCACAGTAAATGAAGGTGATGCAGGCTTCACATGTGTGTGTAGAGGTGAAGGTGGAAACCCTCCAGCCAATATAACTTGGTATAAAAATGGTGAACAGATTGGTAACAAAAGTTATGGAGAAAATAGATTAACTCTCACTAATGTGACTAAACAAGACATTGGAACATACAAGTGTGTGGCTCAGAGCTACACTCTGACGGATGAAAAATCAATTGAAGTAAAAGTAAGACATAATCGTAAGTATGATTGACACTCAAGTCAAGCATTAGACTACTATACAGTGTGTGTTTTAAACCGCGGCTGTGCAATGTTTGAAATAGATGTAGCTAACAATTCAGATGAAAGATTGAAATTACATGTTAAAGTAAAGCATTAATCATTATACTTATTAGGATCAGTTGTGAAAAATGTTGCAATAGATCGGAAGAGCGAAATGAACTTGTGGCCCTGCATGTATAATTCCTTTTCAGATCTCTGCGAGCTAGCTACAATTGTTTGCTTTCGAGTGTCGGTTAGGTCATCTACAATAAACTTTCAAAATTGACATTGTCACACAGAAAATTTCACATTTAAACTGTGCAGAAATATTAATCAAACACTATTTTCTACTGATTAGCATACTGTATATATGCGTGTTTTCTTTAAGAGCTTGCAAATTTTCATATTGATGACCATGTTTTTTAGGTTGCTTCGTACTTGAAAAATATTAGCAAACTTAAGCAATGCTTAATCTATAACACCACGGAAAGACAGTCGCTATAATTTATATGGTCTCCAACACGGTTTCAATGTCTTTTCTACCTGTGACTGTTTTTCTTTACAAAGCAATATTTCATAGTTTTTGCCGTTGAAATTTCGAAAGTGTAATTTTGAAGTCTTTAAAAGTGTAATTTTTAAAGTTAGCTAATATTTTTTCTCAGGTGCATCCGTAGGCTACTGAGATCATGTACTGCAGTAAATATATTTCCAGTCAGGGATTATTTTAAGGTGCAGTGATGCCCATTTTGTGCAATAATAAATTGGATTTGTGCAGTACAATAACTTATTTTCTTTAATATTTAACTATAGGTGATATTAATTCGTGAAAGGAATACATAATGTTCAAAAGCACAATAAGCGGTACAAGGAAGACAATAAGTTATGCCAGTTTTCACTTAACGTTTTCAATTTTATATCGAATTTTATGTGGCCTATTATTCAATCTTTCAAGATGAAATGAATAAAAAATTCAGGGCCGTAATATAGACGCGATAATAGACCTTTCCCCTTATGAGTGAAATTTTGATCTATAGATATGCCTGCATGGGCAACAATTTCATCACAGCTTGAAGAGCATCACAAAATTAGTAATATTCCGAAGTTTTGTTGCGAAATGGTGTAAAATGCGGATAATATAGCCTTGCGAAGTTTGCCGTTTTTCAGTCATTTTGCATTACAATCTAACATTTTGCATCAGTTTGATCATCTGATTATCAATTTCCCGTAATACCAAACTTCGCAAGGCTGTATTATCCGTATTTTACAACATTTCGCAACGAAACTTCGGAATATTGCTAATTTTGTGATGCTCTTTCAAGCTGTGATGAAATTTTTGTCCAGACTTGTCTAGATCAAAATTTCACTTAAAAGGGGAAAGGTCTATTGGGGGGGGGGGGGGGGGGGGGTATATTCATATATTCATGTTCACATACCGTAAAAACAATCGCTTTCAAAAGAAATCCGTCAAGCAGAACACGAATATATTAAATACACCCCCCCATTTAGCGGTCTAGCTACGGCCCTGCAAAAATTGTGTGTGAAACGGCAAGAAATCAACCTCTGGAGGCTAAAAAGTACGTCTCCAAAAACGTTCTGTCTTTTGTCTCCCTTTTCTTTGGTTCATTTACAAATTACATTTCCTGTTTTGGATTTCCCAGTATACATGCAGCACTGAACAACGTATCAGTCTAGAAAGTTGTACTCAGAGCTCCTTCGCTGTGTGACATCGTGACATGCTGCTATTTTATGTCTTTTTGTTTCCAGTACGAACCTCCCATAAGGCTGGTAAATATACCTTGACATTGAGTGTATGCAGGGGCGTTGCTAGAGGGAGGAGGTGGTTGGTGGAATATATACCCTCAATTGTCAGACATTCGGCAAATTATTGAATCCGGATTCCGTCAGTCGGGAAATGATGTTCGTAGTCGAGAAAAGAAAATACTAATATATATATATATACTAGAAAATACATGCATGCAGAAACCCTCGCCTTACTGACAAAACATTATGTTTTCTGAATATTATGAAGAATTGAAAGTAGTTGTCATGGTAACACGATAATTTTAAGAATAGTTTTAAACCTGGTTTTAAAA